CTCCTGTGAGTTGTTTAATTGTCCACTGCCATTCACGACTGGATGTGGCAGGACTGCAGAACTTAGACCTGATCCATTGGTTGTGAGATTGCTTAGCTCTGTCTATCACTTGCTGCTTTCGCTGTTTGGTAGCCCTGTTTGGTGGCTTCACCAGGTTGATACCTCATCTTCAGCTATGCCTGGTGGCTGCTCCTGGCATGCCCTCCTGCACTCTTCATTGAATCAGGGTTGATTCCCTGGCTTGATGGTAATGGTTGAGTGGGGGATATGCTGGGCCATGAGATTACAGATTGTGTTGGAGTACAATTCTGCTGCTGTTGATGGCCCATAGCGCATCATGGATGCCCAGTCTTGTGTTGCTAGGTCTGTACGAAGTCTGTCACATTTAGCATGGTGATAGTGCCACACAACACGATGGTGGCTGTTCTCAGTGTGAAGGCGGGACTTCATCTCCACAAGGACTGTGCAATGGTCATTCTTACCGATACTGTCATGGACAGTTGCAACTGCAGCCGGCAGATTAGTAAGGATGAGATCAAGTATGTTTTTCCCTCTTGTTGGTTCCCTCACCACCTGCCGCAGACCTATGTCCTTTAGGACCCAACCAGCTCGATCAGTAGTACTGCTGCTGAGCCACTCTTGGTGGTGGACATTGAAATCCCCTTTTGTGCCCTTGCCATCATCATTGCTTCCTCTAAGTGTTGTTCAACATTGAGGAATACTGATTCATCAGCTGAGGGAGGACGGTATGTGGTAATCAGCAGGAGGTTTCCTTGCCCACGTTTAACTTGAAGCCATGAGACTTCATGGGCTCCGGAGTCAATGTTGAGGACTCCAGTAGCAACACCCTCCTGACTGTATACCACAGTGCCGCCCCCTCTGCTGGGTCTGTCCTGCCGGTGAGACAGGACATATCCAGGGATGGTAATGGTGATGTCTGGGACGTTGTTTGTAAGGTGTGATTCTATGTCAGGCTGTTGCTTAACTAGTTTGTGAGACAGCTCTCCCAATTTTGGCACTAAATCCCAGATGTCAATGAGGAGGAATTTGCATGGTCGACAAGGCTATTTCTGCCGTTGCCTTGGCCGATGCCAGGTGATCCGTCCACTTTCATTTCTTTGAGCCGTTGTAGCGATTGGCTTGCTAGACCATTTCAGAGGGCATTTGAGAGTCAACCACATTGCTGTGGGTCTGGAGTCACATGTAGGCCAGACCAGGTGAGGGTGGCAGATTTCCTCCCCTGAAGGACAGTAGTGAACCAGATGGGTTTTTCTGACAATCGGCAATAATTTCATAGTGATAAGTAGATTCTTAATTCCAGAGTTTTTTTTTTGAATTCCAATTCCATCATCTGCTGTGCTGGGATTTGAACCCAGGTCCCCAGAATATCAGCTGGGTTTCTGGTTTAATAGTCTAGCGATAATACCACTAGGCCATCGCCTACCCCAATTTGATGTTGATGGTCTGTACAACAATGCACTACTGAAGGAAGCGATTAACATTTTCATTGAGGTGCTGTACCATAGCGAACCATATTCACCACAATGGTGTGAATTAGTATCCATTGAACTTCTGAATTCAGCAACTTATGCAGTTGATTTGAGTGTTAACAATACCATATATTCCCAAAAAGACAGTGTTGCCATAAGGTCCCTTCCATGTTTTTTATGGAGTGACCACTTGCATATTTCTGTTATGTTAGATGCTATATTTCCGATATTTGAATCCACAGCTGCATACAAGAATTTTGTTCATGGGCTTCTTCAAGGGCAATGTCCTGTGCCTGAATTTACCTTTGTAATGGAACAGTCAAATCAGCCCCTATCCCACCATCCTTCCATGGATTTTTACCACTGTCTACTGAAAATTCACGGCCTAGTAAACCTACTGTTCCACACCTTATTCGGTTTAAGCTATTTTTTCACTGTACAAGCTGGATGCTGTAATAGGGCATATCAAAGCATTCTATGGGGTAATAGCAACCCTGAGCAGATTATTTAGAACACAGAATTGTACAGCAGCGGACCAGGCCCCTCAGCCCACAACGTTATGCTGAACATGACGTCAAATGAAACTAATCACTTCTTCCTGTGCTTGGTCTGTATCTGTTCATTCCTTGCATATTCATGTGTTTATCTAGAAGTCCCTTAAACACCCTTATTGTATCTGCCTCCACACCACACCTGGCAGCACGTCCCAGACTCCTACCACTCTCTGTGTAAAACAAAACATGCCGCGATTGTCTCCTTTGAACTTTCCCCCCTCGCCTTTAAATGCATGCCCCCTAGTATTAGACACTTCAACTCTGGGAAAAAGATTCTGACCGTCAAACCTATCTGTGCATCTCATTATTATATAGACTTCTTTCAAGTCTCTCCTCAGCCTCTGCCATGCCAGAGAAAACAGCCAGAGTTTTCCAGCCTCTCCTAATAGCTCATACCTTCTAATCCAAGCAGCATCCTGGTAAACCTCTTCTGCACCCTCTCCAAAGCCTCCACATCCTTCCTGTAATGTGGTGACCAGAATTGAACACAATACTCTAAGTGTGGCCTAACCAAAGTCTTATAAAGCTGCTACATGATATCCTGACTCTTGTACGCAATTCCACAACAAATAAAGCTAAGCATGTCATATGCCTTCTTCACCACCCTATCTACTTGCGTGGCCACTTTCAGGGAGCTATGGACTTGAACCCCAAGATCCTTCTGTTCATCAATGCTGTTCAGCATCCTGCCATTAACTGTATATTTTTCCTTAACACTTGATCTCCCAAAGTGCAGCACCTCACACTTACCTGGATTAAACTCCATCTGCCATTTCTCTGGCCATATCTGCATTGATCTATACCCAGCTGTATCCTTTGACATAACAAGGCATAGAGCTGGATGAACACAGCAGGCCACGCAGCATCAGAGGAACAGGAAAGCTGATGTTTCGGGCCTAGATCCTTCTCCAGAAAAGCCCAGTTCTTTGCAGTCGGAAAGGACATGTACACACCATGCCTTTTTCAACTCAATAAGATACGTGATATACATCCTACCATCTCTGTATCCTTTGACAACCTTCTACACTATCCATAACTCCACAGATCTGACACAGAGGGTGGTGGGTGCCTGGAACTTGCTGCTGGGGGAGGTAGTGGAAGCAGATACGATAGTGACTTTTAAAGGACGTCTTGACAAATAAATTGATAGGATGGGAATAGAGGGATATGGTCCCCAGAAGGGTAGGGGGTTTTAGTAGTGACGGGCAGCCTGTCAGTGCAGGCTTGGACGGCCGAAGGGCCTGTTCCTATACTGTAATTTTCTTTGTTCTTTGTTCTTTGTATCATCTGCAAACCTACTAACACACCCATCTACATTTTTATCTAAGTCATTCGTATATATCACAAACGGCAGGGGTCCCAATACAGATTGCTGCTGAACATCACTAGTCACGGACCTCCAGCCTGAAAAACACCTTTTCATGACTACCCTGTACTTTCTATGGTCAAGCCAATTCTGAATCCATGCGGCCAAGTTGCTGTGGATCCCATGCATCTTAATCTTCTGGATGAGCTTACCATGAGGGACCTTGTCAAAAGCCATACTAAAATCCATGTAAACAACATTTACTGCTCTGGTGTCATCTATCACCTTCGTCACTTCCTTGAAAAATTCAATCAAGTTGGTACTGTATCAGTTTGATGCTGTATATTGCATAAACTCATAAACAGGTCTAAGTTGTCACTTGTTTTTGGACCTGAAAGGTACATATTCTACCTCAAATGAAGGTAAAGTATGTAAAATACTAGAGTAACGTATCTGTTTCATGCTGCCACGAATAGTAGCAATAAAAATGATGTTTGCCATTCACAGGATGCTGCCATCAAGCCAAAAATACTTTCTGCTTATCACATAAATGAATAATATGAATTCCAATGTTGGTATGATGCTAGGTCCAATGGCCACATATCCCAAAGATCACATCAAATAGCAAGCCCCTTTACCTGTTCGCTGCAAGCAAGATGCTGACCACATGCAACTAGCCCATGCTTGCAAAACGCAAAACAGTGTTCAACATTAGATGAATTCTGATTGGACAATGTTTGCTAAATGTGTGCTAAGAATTAAGATTGAAGATTGGTACACTTGCATGTACCAGAAGCTACAAATATGAACACACGGAGCCCAGCTCTTTGCAGTCGGAAAGGACATGTACACACCATGCCTTTTTCAACTCAATAAAATACGTGATATACGTTCTGTGGTTCATTTCTCAGGGCAATGGCTTAACCAAGCAATGTGAACCTACCTGGTTTAAAAAAAAAGCTTAGGAGTTAACTGTCAGTCATCATTTAATCGATGCTTCTTCATGCAACTCCACTGCCAATTAGAGTCTGCTTGGTAATCAATCACCATTCTTCATATAGTATAAATGTTGTTTTCCTTTACATTGGTGTTTCTTGTGAATTGTTCTGATGAGTGCAAGATGAAAAGCTTAAAAAAAAATTGTCTGTTTTCAGGAATACTCATATTTTGATTCCTTTCTTAATTAAAAATATTGATTAAAATAAAACAAAATAGGTGTTGAAGTTAACTTATCCGAACTGTATCTATGTATCGTTTTGACTTTCTTCAGTATTTTTTCCTGATCTTAAAGTAAATCCTGCACTACATCTAGTGAAATATTAATTACATTTGCGGACTTAACACATCTGTGAAGTCTCTCCGTTTAAGTTTGTGATGACTTTTTCTTATTTTCCTAGTAGTTGATCTTGGTAAGCAAAAATGGTAAATGTAAATTCATCATCCATTCAGTTCTGAAAGATTAGCTGTTGATATTCCCTCTATGTTATTTCCAAATAACAGATAAGGTTTTCAAATGTGAAGAAAAATGCCAAGTAACTTGAAGTCTGCTTCATGTTTTCTTCCTGCCTGAGGCAATTTGTCGTGATCCCAGTTAACAGGAAAACTGCCACACAAAGCTAACCTTGTTCTCTATTTCTCATGCAAACAAAGAGCACTTGAAGGAAGAGGAAAAGCTGGAAATGGAACTGGCCACAATGCGTTCAGCCAATGAGGATCAGCGGAGGCGCATTGAAATCTTGGATCAGGCATTGAACAGCACCCAAGCCAAGGTGGTCATGTTGGAGGAGGAGGTGGGCTTAATGTTTAATTTGATTTGATTGACTTCATTGATGACAGCCGATTCAACACTGTTGGCCACAAAGCAATCAGCAATTAGAAAACTAACTGGATATTTCAGTGTGTTTCTGCAATGCTACTGAAACTATTTATCAAAAGATACTTCAGCATGAAGAGTCAAAATTCAAACTGTCCATATTTTAAGGATGTTTTATCCATATATTTAGACCCTCTCAGTGGATCTTTCTTTGTGTCTTTCTTTAAATCACATTTAAGCAAATTAGTAGTCTTCATTTTTCTTTAGATAACAAGAGTTTTAAAGCAGTAGTGGTGAAAACCTTAAAGTTAAAACAATTGTCTGTGATGAAGGAAGAAATTAGTATCTTGTCTGATTAATTGCAGGCCTAACTAATAATCATTTGCTGTTGGCTTTCTCAATTCAGTGAGCTGCAGTCCACACCAATCCAAACACTGCAACTGTCTGTTTTCTGAGTAAACACACAGCTAGCTTAAATAAAAGAACCTTCTACCCCACAGTCCATCTTTGAGACTATGCAAAGCATGTCACACAGTCATAAACAAAATAAACCTACAACTCCTTGATTGTCTAAGCGTATGAATAATTTATATTTCTATCCAATGTAATTGTCCTCTCTCCAGAATCCTTGCAACTACTCAGGTTTAAAAAGCTGGTTTTGGCTTCTTTAATTAAGCTAAAGATATGTGCCCTTGGTCTACCAAGAAAACAGAGATGCATCTTCCAAGGCTCAGTACTTTGCCTTGTAAGTACTTTGTAAGTCTGATCTCATTAAACACATACCTTGAAATGTTTTTACCCCAGGTCTATTTGAATTAGACTTGATTAATTTCTTAATTAGATGTTTCCATTGAACACTTACAAGTTATATTCCGAAAACATGTGAAAATGCAGTTCATAACTCATAACAAGAACGTGTTTGTCAATACACAGAGTGTAGTAAATAAAGTTAGTTATCAGCAGCTCCAGGTAGTCAAGTGGGAATGTGATATTATTTGTGACGGTAGGAAACCTATCACAAAAATAGGATAGAACATAGAACATAGAACATTACAGCGCAGTACAGGCCCTTCGGCCCTCAATGTTGTGCTGACCTGTGAAACTAATCTGAAGCCCATCTAACCTAAACTATTCCATTATCATCCATATGTTTATCCAATGACCATTTAAATGCCCTTAAAGTTGGCGAGTCTACTACTTTTGCAGGCAGGGCATTTCACGCCTTTACTACTCTCTGAGTAAAGAACCTACCTCTGACATCTGTCCTATATCTATCACCTCTCAATTTAAAGCTATGTCCCCATTGCTAGCCACCACCATCCGAGGAAAAAGGCTCCCACTGTCCACCCTATCTAATCCTCTGATCATCTTGTATGTCTCTAATAAGTCACCTCTTAACCTTCTTCTCTCTAATGAAAACAGCCTCAAGTCCCTCAGCCTTTCCTCATAAGACCTTCCCTCCATACCAGGCAACATCCTGATAAATCTCTTCTGCACCCTTTCCAATGCTTCCACATCCTTCCTATAATGCGGCGACCAGAACTGTACGCAATACTCCAAGTGCGGCTGCACCAGAGTTTTGTACAGCTGCAACATGACCTCATGGCTCCGAAACTCAATCCCTCTACCAATAAAACCTAACACACCGTACGCCTTCTTAACAACCCTATCAACCTGGGTGGCAACTTTCAGGGATCTATGCACATGGACACCGAGATCTCTCTGCTCATCCACACTACCAAGAATCTTACCATTAGCCCAGTAGTCTGTATTCCTGTTACTCCTTCCAAAGTGAATCACCTCACACTTTTCCACATTAAACTCCATTTGCCACCTCTCAGCCCAGCTCTGCAGCTTATCTATGTCCCTCTGTAACCTGCAACATTCTTCCGCACTATCCACAACTCCACCGACTTTGGTGTCATCCGCAAATTTACTAACCCATCCTTCTACGCCCTCATCCAGGTCATTTATGAAAATGACAAACAGCAGTGGCCCCAGAACAGATCCTTGAGGTACACCACTAGTAACTGAACTCCAGGATGAACATTTCCCATCAACCACCACCCTCTGTCTTCTTACAGCTAGCCAATTTCTGATCCAAACCGCTAAATCACCCTCAATCCCATGCCTCCGTATTTTCTGCAATAGCCTACTGTGGGGAACCTTATCAAACGCTTTACTGAAATCGATATACACCACATCAACCGTTTTACCCTCATCCACCTGTTTGGTCACCTTCTCAAAGAACTCAATAAGGTTTGTGAGGCACGACCTACCCTTCACAAAACCGTGTTGACTATCCCTAATCAAATTATTCCTTTCGAGATGATTATAAATCCTATCTCTTATAATCCTTTCCAACACTTTACCCACAACCGAAGTAAGGCTCACTGGTCTATAATTACCAGGGTTGTCTCTACTCCCCTTCTTGAACAAGGGGACAAAATTTGCTAGTCTCCAGTCTTCTGGCACTATTCCTGTAGACAATGACGACATAAAGATCAAAGCCAAAGGCTCTGCAATCTCCTCTCTAGCTTCCCAGAGAATCCTAGGATAAATCCCATCCGGCCCAGGGGACTTATCTACTTTCACACCTTCCAGAATTGCTAACACCTCCTCCTTATGAACCTCAATCCTGTCTAGTCTGATAGCTTGTATCTCAGTATCGTCCTCGACAACATTGTCTTTTTCCTGTGTGAAGACTGACGAAAAATATGCATTTAGCGCCTCTCCTATCTCTTCAGACTCCACGCACAACTTCCCACTACTGTCCTTGACTGGCCCTAATCTTACTCTAGTCATTCTTTTATTCCTGACATACCTATAGAAAGGGTTTTCCTTGATCCTACCTGCTAAAGACTTCTCATGTCCCCTCCTGGCTCTTCTTAGCTCTCTCTTTAGGTCCTTCCTGGCTAACTGAGCGCCCTAACTGAGCCTTCACGCCTCATGTCTACATGCCTCCTTCTTCCTCTTGACAAGAGATTCAACTTCTTCAGTAAACCACGGTTCCCTCGCTCGACCACTTCCTCCCTGCCTGACAGGTACATACCTCTCAAGGACACGCAGTAGCTGTTCCTTGAACAAGCTCCACATTTCAATTGTGCCCAGCCCCTGCAGTTTCCTTCTCCATCCTATGCATCCTAAATCTTGCCTGATCGCCTCATAATTGCCTTTCCCCCAGCTATAACTCTTGCCCTGCGGTATATACCTATCCCTTTCCATCGCTAAAGTAAACATAACCGAATTGTGGTCCCTATCACCAAAGTGCTCACCTACCTCCAAATCTAACACCTGGCCTGGTTCATTACCCAGTACCAAATCTAATGTGGCCTCACCTCTTGTTGGCCTATCTACACACCTGCACACATTGGACAAAAACTGACCCATCTAAAGTACTCGAACTATAGCGTTTCCAGTCAATATTTGGAAAGTTGAAGTCCCCCATAACAACTACCCTGTTACTTTCGCTCCTATCCAGAATCATCTTTGCAATCTTTTCCTCTACATCTCTGGAACTTTTCAGAGGCCTGTAAAAAACTCCCAACAGGGTGACCTCCTTTCCTGGTTCTAACCTCAGCCCCATACTACCTCAGTATACAAGTCCTCATCAAACAGTCCTTTCTGCCACCGTAATACTGTCCTTGACTAACAATGCCACACCTCCCGCTCTTTTACCACCTTCCCTGATCTTACTGAAACATCTAAACCCCGGAACCTGCAACAACCATTCCTGTCCCTGCTCTATCCATGTCTCCGAAATGGCCACAACATCGAAGTCCCAGGTACCAACCATGCTGCAAGTTCACCCACCTTATTCCGGATGCTCCTGGCATTGAAGTAGACACACTTCAAACCACCTTCCTGCCTGCCAGTACACTCCTGCGACCTTGAAACCTTATTCATGACCTCACTACTCTCAACCTCCTGTACACAGGAGCTACAATTCAGGTTCCCATCCCCCTGCTGAATTAGTTTAAACCCTCCCGAAGAGCATTAGCAAATTTCCCCCCCAGGATATTGGTACCCCTCTGGTTCAGGTGTAGACCATCCCGTTTGTAGAGGTCCCACCTACCCCAGAATGAGCCCCAATTATCCAGGTATCTGAATCCTTCCCTCCTGCACCATCCCTGTAGCCACGCATTCAACTGCTCTCTCTCCCTATTCCTCGCCTTGCTAGCACGTGGCACGGGTAACAAACCAGAGATAACAACTCTGTTTGTTCTAGCTCTAAGTTTCCACCCTAGCTCCTTGCATTTCTGCCTTACATCCCCATCCCTTTTCCTACCTATGTCGTTGGTGCCTATGTGAACCATGACTTGGGTCTGCTCCCCCTCCCCCTTAAGGATCCCGAAAACACGATCCGAGACATCACGGACCCCGGCACCTGGGAGGCAACACACCAACCGCGAGTCTCTCTCGTTCCCACAGAATCTCCTATCTGTCCCCCTAACTATGGAGTCCCCAATGACTAATGCTCTCCTCCTCTGCCCCCTTCCCTTCTGAGCAACAGGGACAGACTCTGTGCCAGAGACCTGTACCCCATGGCTTACCCCGGTAAGTCGTCCCCCCCAACAGTATCCAAAACGGTATACTTGTTTTTGAGGGGAACGGCCACAGGGGATCCCTGCGCTGTCTGCCTGTTCCCTTTCCGTCCCTTGACTGTAACCCATCTACTTTTTTCCTGTACCTGAGGTGTGACTACCTCCCTGTAACTCCTCTCAATTACCCCCTCAGCCTCCCGAATGATCCAAAGTTCATCCAGCTCAAGCTCCAGTTCCCTAAAGCGGTTTCCGAGGCACTGGAGTTGGGTGCACTTCCCGCAGATTAAGTCAGTGGGGACACTAGTGGTGACCCTTACCTCCCACATTCTACAGGAGGAGCATGCAACTGCCCTAACATCCATTCCCACTGTTCTGAATTCCCAAACAGATTATTAAAAAAAAACTAGTAGCCTTACCAAATCAGCACTCAGAA